ACACACACACACACACACACACACACACACACACACACACACACACAAACCAGTATTATCCTCCAAACATCATGCAAATAATTATGTACCTAAAAATAATATACTGGGTAAACAAAAAATTAGTAATTTGAAACACTTCTTAATATACAGAAAGACATGGATTTCAAAAGTAAAGAGTAAATAGTCTGGAATATAGATGGTAAATTATACTTACAAAAAATAAAAAAAAATGAATGTAAAACTACTTTGAGTAAACACTTTCATATCATGTAAGAGTGATTAAAATTGATTTATTTTTGATAAATAAGTGAAATAGGGCTAGAGAGGTGGCTTAGTGGGTAAATGCTCTTGTTGAGCAAGTCCCCAGAATCCATGTGAAAGCTAGGCTGGGCACACGTGCCTTTGTGGGATGAAGGAGAGGCCTTGTTTCAGTTTAAGCAAGAGACCTGTCTCAAATCAGTAAGGCAGAGATTTACACAGCTGGACACTGTGTGCACACACCTGCACAGACATCACACATACTCACATAAAATAAAATCATATAGAGAAATAGAGTTTAGGAAGCTGATAAAAATTTAACAATCTCTCTAGGGGAACTAATAAAAAGACAACTTCACTCTAGATCACTAAACACATGAGAAACTATCTCTGTGGTCAAAGACATACAATAGAATTTTAAAATCAACAAACATTAAAAGCAGCAGCATAAAAATATGACATAGAACCAAACATGCCAAGTGTCACAAAATGTTACTGTATTACATGTCTTCTGAATGATAAAAACCAGTGAAAGACAGCCTCAAAGCCTAGCTTCTGTCTGGAGACACACAGGTGGCCTGTCTGGGGTTCTGGCCCTCTTCTCTTTGATGGGAGTTTAAGCTTTGAACGTGAAGTCATGTATTTAGCTAAAAAGCACCGGCTTTTTGAAGCTGTGAGTTGGGTGTCCAAAGTTCAAACAGAAGCAAAAAGCAAGTTAAAATCCATGCCTGTCCAGAACCTATACCACCGTTTGTCCTGTCCTGAAGCTATACTGCCCCTGTCCTGGTCTTGTATAAGGATAAGGCTGACATGTGCTCACATGGCACTCACATCACGTGAGAGCCTTGTGCAGCTGGTTTAGTGGATGTGGGAGGGGCTCGTGGGGCCTGTGCAACCTCAGTTTTGCTATGCATAGGGTTCTGGGAACTAACTGTCTTCATGCTGAGGGATTTCTGCCAAGGAAAATAAGTTATTTCCCTTTCAGTCATTTATGCTCATTTCGTCTGTGTGTGAAAATGATATACTAACTTAACAGTATTATACAGCTAATTTAATTCTTAGGGAACAAACAGGTTTCTTTAAAATATAAGTTTACTATTATTGCATAGTAACATATGCATTTATAACTAAAATGAAAAAGTATTTCAAAGAACTTTCTTTTTATTGACCAACCATATTTTGGCATCTGTAGTATCCACATGCGTACTTGTCTCTAGATTTAAAAGGAAAACGGGGATGCAATCACTTTTAAAAGCACTACTGTGCAGCCACTGTGAGCAGTTACAACCAAAAATAACCACAGGCAAAGACACAGGCATCGATACTACTGCTGAGACTCCTTATTTGCCAATACAGGGCCCGCACAGCCTGGTTCACTGAAGCAAATTCTCTGCAAATCAGAATGACTCAGGGCTCTTAGAGTTCAACTTATACAGAAAGAAAGAGGGAGAGAGCAGTTCTCTCAGACATCCACTGAGCCATCCTCACCCTCTCACCTTCCTTTTCAGGAAGATGAAAACAAGCTACGGGGCTTTTTTAATTGACAACCACAGTATCTGTGATCATCAGTTTGGAAATATAATCAGAGGTTTTACTCTTATGTGATGTATTTGAAAAAAATACGCTGTAAGGCAATCATGGTCTAATCCAGGTGACATCCTTGCTAGGTAGGTAGGAATCTGTTATTCTTCTGTATGGCTGCTTCTGCAGGGAATGACCAAGAAGTAAAATCATATTTTCTCAGTATTAACTTTAGACATCTAGCAATAGTTTGCTGAGTCTAATAAACCTTTGGACAACGCTGCCAGCAAAGGCAGCGAAGAGCAAGGGGAAACATTAAAACCTTGATAGCAGCTGCACAGCTCCTAATAAAGTCCATTGTAAACTCATCCATGTTTACCTTACTGCTTCATCTGAGCTTCAGCGAAAACAAGACATCCCCTGAGTTCATATCTCCTATAACTCAGATGGTCTGAAAAACGAGGTTCCTTACCTGCTATGGTGTTGAGAAACATCAAATACTCAAAGTTGGAGATTTCCCTTCTTTGCCAGCGTTGAGTCATGTTGGAAGACTTATACAGCTGTCGAGGAGTGGCCAGTGATATCCTCCTGGTGAGTAAGCAGGCCAAAGACACTTTCAGTCACGGCTGTCAAAAGTCCAGCTGCAACTAAAATATCTATTTGAGATCAGTCCGTAATTTGTGGGTTAGCCTTCATGGGTAGAATATGTAATATTTAGTTGTAGAAATTAGCTCTATTTCAGAATTCTATTATAGAGAAGGATAAGTTGGGAAGCCTCTATCTGTGAAAATATAGTTGCAAATGGGTAACTACAGTACACAGGAACAAAAGTGGTAATAGCTGCTCTGAAAATAAATCAACATAAATCTGAAAATAAATATGTTACTCAGCAAATCTGAGTAACAAGAAACTCATAGTTACACAGGTGCCTGCCTGCAAGACTCAGCATCACTTACTTCTCAGTGGCAAGGGTGGCTGTCACTGAACAAAGGAAGCACAAAGGGCAGCCTCCACCTGCATGATAAACACCTACCACTAATGTACCAAACCAAACCAAACCAAACCAAACCAAAACAAAACAAAATAAAAAGTGGGAACTGTGAAAAATTCCCAGGCCCAGGGACATAAACAGAGCTGTGGGGAGTAGGTCAGCATCATGTGTTCTTCCAGGCTTAACATGTTTATCTGAAAATTAGAGGGAAACCTAGTATATTTAGAAAAGTATGATAATGCCTCTTGGTTCCTAAAGCTGTTAAGAGTCTTGTTACTATTAATGTTGCAGTGATTTTTTTCCCACAATGCCCCTTGATCAAGAGAAACACCTAGCAGTTCTGTTTACTGAACAGTTAGATCAAAATGCTTAAGGTCTAAATGTGGTCTGAGCATGTGTACCAAAGGTTCATGCGCTGGGAAATGGTGGTGTTGAAGTGGTGGGATCGGGACCTTATGAAAGTCCTAGGCCATAGCGGCACTGTCTTCAGGAGGAATTAATGCTGGTCTTACTGAATTAGTATTCAAGACAACAGGCTGCTATAATGGGGCAGCTCTGCATGGATGGCCCCCATCTTACATGCCTATTTTCATTTCTTGCCCCAAGGAGCCCTCACCACAGGTTGAGACCATCAGGCCTGATCTTGCATCATCAACTTCTGAACACATGAATTAAATAAGCTTGCTCTTACTATATTGCCCAGAATCAGATACTGTTTAAAGCAAGGCGACTAAGGCAAAATCTAAAATATCAAGCACCTACTTGGAGTCTAACACTGACGAACACTTAGTGGGTTTGCTCTAAGTGGCTGCAGTATCTGAAAGGGCACAAACTTTACAGTTTCTCAAGTACAGGAACCAAAACTGACACTAGCCCCTTCACTTTTCTGTACCCAATCTAATTCCTCACTGAGATCTGAATTTTTGAGTCTGGTAAACACCAAACACAAACCCCAGTCTCCTCAAAGATGTATGGGAAATAAGGGCTACCTAATGTTGAAAATGAGAAATAAAAAGTGTTATTTTATTTATTACATAGCAAGGCCACGAACTCTAAATAGAACCAGGGTGTTTCCTTTGGATCCCGCTGTCTGAATAGAAAACATAAAACAGTAGTTAATATCATGTGTGGGAGGTAAGTGAGTGTTTGCCAGTAATTTTTTTTTTTTTTTGTCCAGTGTGAAAAGACTGTTTTTCAGACCAACATGAGTCACCCTGACAGAAGATGAAAAACGGGAATTAGGAAAGTGGGAGGAATGACGAAGTTATCTAAATCTAAGTTTTCTTACTTGTAAATTAGGGTAAGAATCCCATTATTTTTATAAAATGCGAGTGCTTTCATATTTAAGTGAAAAAGTCATGTTATAATTAAGACAGAAATTGTCCCTTACTCATGGGAAGTACTCAGTGAACCACACTGTGAATATTAATTAATGAGAGAGACATTCATGATGCTGTGCTACCTTAATGGAAATCATCCCTTTGTCCTGAGCTTGCTTATTAAGCAAGAATCTGATTTGCAATGTGACCTTGGTGAGCTTGCCTTGGTCCATGCTAGGGGATGCTGAAGTCAGTTGTTTATGGGAGGTAGCTGCCTTTGAATTTAATAATGCTTTGTTGTTTAAAATTAAGTGTCTGAAGGCTTTAGCTGAAGAGTTTCTGAGAGCTGACTTAAATTTTCAAATACTGATAGAAGCAGGTGTCAAGAAAGTGCAGCACAGATTCCTGGGGTCTTTGTTATTCTACGGGAACACATCAGAGAGCTTCTCCTTGGAAGAGCATGGCACCATTCCTACCATCTGATAACTCTTTGAACCCCCTTCTTCCTCAGCATGCACATGCATCCTATGAGAGTGGGAAGGGGTCTCTGTGTGCACATCTGCTTTACCCATGTAGGCACCATCATCTGTAGGTGTGCGCCCAGATGTCCATAAGGATATACTACATGAAGGCATTTATAGTTTATGCAGTGCCTTTGTCTGTTAAACGATATCTTGATTTTGAACATCCCTACAAAAGCATTTTCCCATTTATGGTAAATGAGAATGCCATTCCTCTTGCCTAGTATCATTTGTTCTTTTAACCGCTATATAATGAGTTTTTCTAGACGGTAGACATCATTATTATGACCCAGCTTGTACGTGGCAGGTGCAGGCCTACATGTAGTTCTCCTAGTCTATTTTGCTACTTAAAAGACTACAATTGTCAGAAATATGCAAACTGGGCCTGTAATAATAGTGTTAGGAGAGAAAGAATGAGTTGGGACTTTAAGGAGAAAACAAGCCACGAGACCAACCTGATGTTCTGAGAGCAAGGCTGTAAGGAGTGACAGAAATGGCAAACCTACTGAGTGCTTTTCTACCCTAAAAAGTAATCATTCAGAAGTCAAAAGAGAATTGATATCTTAAATAGGTAAGGCAAATAGTAGGAGAGCTATTGTTTATTTTAAATAAATCACATTCAGTCAGGTTCACAAGCATTGCAGGAATTCACACTTGTCCCTAGGAAGCCCTTAGGCAGTCTCTCAGAAATCATGTTCATTAAGTAAAACGCTAGGGTGCAGGAGCTTACTCTTAACCAGGAGAAAGACAGACCTATTTGAGTATTCTTAACATTCACTCCTGGAAAAAATGATTAAATGTATAATCTGTGAGCACTTGGGAAGGAAGCAATGATAACTATGAGTCAGCTTAGATTCAATCAGTAAGAACAAGTCTTACGAATCATTCTTTTGTTTTTGATAGATTAAATGCATTTTTCTTTGACTTGTATTTTTTATACATGCTTCATTATCTACTAATGCCTTGGTTTAATCTTGTCATTCTCCTTGCAAATATCCTGAGCATGTACACACATGCCACAAATTGCTCTCCAACTGGAAGCTTAAGAACAGGTCAGACATAATGCAAGGGAACGCTAGCTGGGAACATTTAGAAAGCATTTTTGCTATTATGCACTGAGTTGTAAGCTACAAGTTGAAAGATAAATAAAACGTAATCTCTATCTTTAGAATGTCTGGTATCTATTTAGGGAAGATGGACAGAGATTGGCTTTCCACACAGGAGGACCCTGCGCTAATCTTTTAGGACTTAACAGTTTGTGCTGCACAGTGCTGGCTGGATCTCCAGGCAGAGCACACCTCCACCAGCCTGTGACTGTAATCATCCTTCTCAGGGAGGAGATGGCAAGGAATCAGAGGTGTGTTTTCTAAAATCTCTAGAATGCCCGAGTCCCTGAGCCACACCAGCTTTAGAGGTGCAAGACAATGTCTTCTAGCCAAAGTGACTTAAGATAAAGACTCTCAGAAGCTTCTGAGAAATACATTCCTTCTTAAAATAGACCTTTAAAGAGAAATCAGCGTGCCTTTTCTCTATCTTGGGAAGCAATGGTCATTTTGTGATCATGAAGCCAAATATCACCAAGTATCTGAGTCATAATCACTAGTGTTTTAACTCAAGTCTTTCTGTTTTACACACACACACACACACACTCACACACTCCACACACCCTAAAACCATATACATACAAACCCCTTCTTTTATTCAAGTACTCAATTTCATGGACCCAAGCATAGACAATACACATAATTAGTAACTGTGTTTTTGCTTAGATTATTACCTTTTATTAAAATGAGGTTTTCAATGGTTCTTCAGAAATACTAAGATGAATATTTTAGGTAAAAGTTATAACTATACCATAATGAATAACTAGTGTTCTCAGCAAATTACAGGAATTTTTATGACCTTAATAAACAGCCATTTATATTTAGCATTTATGAAGCCATAATTTATATGCTATTGCCTAGTATTTAATCACAAACACTATGCAATGCTTTTGGTATGCTAAGATTATATGGCTTAACTAGAAAGGTGTTGTTTGTTTGTTTGTTTGTTTGTTTTTGAGATAGGGTTTCCTTGTGTAGCCCTGGCTGTCCTGGAACTCGATCTATGGATTAGGCTGGCCTTGAACTCACAGAGATCCACTTGCCTCTGCCTCCTAGGTACTGGGATTAAAGGCATACACCACTACTGTCCAGCAAAAGATACCTTTTTTATATGTTAATAATCATTACACTCATTGGAGACACGTTTAGTTAAGTCTGCCCTAGCCATTCTCTAATGCTTAGTGCAGTGGTTTCCATAAAATACCCACAGAGCAAGAAAAGGCCTTAGTCTGAGAGATTACTACATATAAACAAATCTCAGATAATGTGAAACATGATATAATTACCTGGCTTGTGGCAAACCATAGCTGGTCCCCACTCCAACCCGAGGCAAACTGTAGACAACTTTTTTAACTGTTGCTTGGTCAGGAAAATTAAACATCACAGAGGCTGTGGCAGAAGAAAAGAAGGAGCTTTAGCAAACGACAGGAGAGACCACTTAGGACACAATGTTCAAGGGCCTACTGTGGCTTATCTGTAAGGGCAATGAATCTTCATGGAAGATGAGCCTTCTCTACAGTTTTGCCCATTTGAAACCAAAACCAATGTCTTCAAACACATTTTGCTTTCATGACAGCATACAAAAAGGAATACAGACAATAATCAAACAGCATTTTGCATGCAAATGAATAATATTAGGGGTAAATATATCTTCTTTCTGGCTTCTTCAGAGACTTACTTCGGTTTGCCATAAACACTTCCAGCGCTGTGTTCTGCAGAAGATAGCGTCTCGAAAACACAGCTCGGATCTCACTGAACATCCACTTCCCATGAAGTCCCTCAGTGTATGCAAGAACCTAAGAGAAATGAGTTAAAGGGACAATAACCAATAAAGTAGGAATTTAAGGCTTGGAGAACACTTTAAATAAAGTGTTGTCTAAAAATCCTGAATAAGTTATCTTCTGCTTTCATGACGTATCATGGTACTCTCAATCACCAGATACTGTTTATTTGCATAATTTACACCTTTCTAAACTCTCTTGACTCAAGAGCAGTCAAACAAATGAGTAAAAACAATTATATTCAAAACGACCTTGTGACTTAAAGACCCAGATCCTGTTTCTGTGGCACACGCTGTTAGTACTGCCAAATAGTCCTCCTTTCTCTTTCTCCCTTACTTCATGGAAGCCAGTTAACTCTGCATGCATTTTTTTTTTTTCTGGTAAAACGTAAGATAGATGTTTTTTGGGTTTTTTTTGTTTGTTTGTTTGTTTTTTTGGTGTTTTTTTTGTTGTTGTTTTTTGTTTGTTTGTTTTCAGCTTACATACTATATGCTGTTATTGTCCCTGGAAATCTGTCACCAGACATAGACATTGCAGAAGTTACTGGCTGTGTCCAGTAAAACTTTATTTACACTGAAGTGGCTGAATTTGGAATAGAGATGGGATTTGGCTTGACTAATGGTCTAGGGAAACCATAAGATTATTCTGTATTTCTCAATTTTTCTTGCAACTTTGGTAGGACCTACAGCTGGCTCAGGAGGACAGAGGTAAAGGAAATGGAGGATGCTTCAGAAATGCTAGTAAAATGAGGAGTGACAGGAGGCTGACACTCTCCTGCCCTTCTTATCTGAATGGAGATGTAACAGCTTACATCCTAGCAGCACTGGAGAATCACTGGGCTGCTGGAACATGCAGAACATCCCACGGAACCCCGAGCACCCAGACTGTCTCTTCCTCAGCACAGACCAGCTCATAGCTGATGAAGCTACTTTTTCAGAGCATGCAAAGCACATTGCATACTCTTGATGCACCAACACGGCTAACAACACATGAACATCTTTTCCTTGGATCTGTGTAGTTCTTAAGTTTCATATACATTAGGTTTCTGTTGCTTTGAAAATAAGCTATGAAATTCCTTAATGGTTCTTTTAAGAAACAAAAGCAAAATATGTGTTTCTGATTTTATTGTGGTGTGTGTGTGTACATTCATGTCCCTGTGGGTACACATGTGCATGCACATATTTGTGACATCAATGTTAGATATCTTCTTCCACTTGTTGCCACCTTCTTTTTTAAGTATTTTGTCTTCATGAGTGTTTTGCGTGCATATATGTCTGTGCAGCACCATGAGCATGGCTAGTTCCGGTGGAAGTCAGAAGAGGCAGTCAGATTATCTGAAGCTGGAGTATGGACTGTTGTGAACCACCATGTGGGTGCTGGGTCCTCCGAAAGAGCAGCCAGTGCTCATCACTACTGAGCCATCTCTCAGCCCCTCCACCTTACATTTTGAGGCAGTGTTTCTCACCGAGTGTGGCGCTAATCAATTCAGCTATTTTGTCTGGACAGCAGGGATCCTCCCGTCTCTACTGCCTTAGTACCGTGACTGTTGCAATATACCACCATGTGCGGCCTTTTCCCCTCTCAATAGTTTTCTCAAGGAGCCAAAGTCAAGTTCCTGTGGCAAGCACTTCATGATCGAGCACTCTCCAGGCCCTTGTTTTCAGTTCTTAACTCTGTCTGAGTCTTCCTAAGGCCAGAAGGTCTTTAGAGGCTGTTTCATGTGTTTAGGTCCTAAGACATTCAGAATCAGTCAGACTCTTCCTGAATCTTGGCTCTGCCATTTGCTAATTCTAGATTTTAGAAAAATTGCCTGACTCCATCTGACTTTTGTCTTCTGAAACGTGGTAACAATAGCATCTATCACTGGTTAGTTTAAGTGTTGGCTCTTCATGCCAACAGAAGTGGCAGGAAAAGCCTTCTCAGGCTGGACACCCTTTGTAAACTTTGCAAACCCTCAAGGCAGGAAAGTGGCCAGACCTTACCCCAGAGGCTCCCTAAAAGCCTTAATGATTATTCCCAGGCCTGGGGCAGGGGAGTAGCTAGGCCCCATTCTACAAGAAAAAAAAAAATCCCACCAGTCTCTGAACAGGAAAACCCACCAGTCCCTGAACTTGCCAAAGAAACTCACCGATCCCTGAGCTCTCACAGTTTAGGACTTGAACTTCCCCCCAATCCTCTACCCTGAAAATCTGGAAAGCTTTGTTCCTCAAGAAACTATGTAAAGCCTGTGTCTGCTCAGTTCCCCTCTTTTTCTCACCCAAGCGGAGCCACCCTCTTGGGTTTTCCCTCCCAATAAATCTCTTGTGTGAGGTTTGTCCTGTGGTATAAATGTGGTATTCCTTGGTTCCCGACTGGCAGGATACCTTTCCTTTCAGAGCTGTAGCACTTCCATTAAGAACCAGTGAATATGGAGGGACAGCTCTATGATGTTCCTACCACGTGACAACTCTTCTCAGCTTCTAAATGCAAAACTTCTTCTCATGTATTTTACAAAATGGTTACTATGGTGACTCATTACAATTCATATTTATTCAGGAATACTATAATCAGTTGCAGTTCTGAATTTCATACACTAGAATAGCTTTTTTTCAAAATGGAAGAAAGGAAAGAATGTAAGATTGCCAGCATCTTCTGTGTGTGCTAAGTAACAAATATCTTAAGACAAATTGTTGAAAACTATTTGCATATGATTATTCAATAAGAAAAAATAAGATTATTGAAATTCAAACAGTCAAATGAGGAAGGTATGGTAATTTCTCATAAGCCTGTGTTGGGCCCTTCATATTAATTCTGCTATAAGAAGGGAGACAGTTAAATTACTGTGCATGGGTGTACATTGTGTACACTTTGACTTGTGTCTATCTGTAGAAGCTGTGATATAAAAAATATTTGCTCAAGTGGTAACTGGGAAAATAAACTAGCCTGATTCTGTGGGTGTCCTGTGTGAACTTAGAAGTTCAGTAGGAATTCAGTCAGCAGGAATTCAGTCTCTTGGGTCACCTTAAACCTTCACTACTTGCTCTATTAAGATGAATCTGTTCCCCTTAGGTCTGTTCCCTCTACTAGCTTGCGTGATAATAAGGCCTATCACAGGGTACCAAGGAGCCACATGGAGGAAGGGCTTGCTTCCTGTGCTGTGCTGCTTCAGGAGCGCCTGGTCTCTGCAACAGCTGGTGGTACACAATGGCCAACTGACCACTCTGGACAGCAGCCCCAAGACTTCCAACTCCAGAAGTTCTATAGCAGAGTCTCTGGTGAGGACATACCAAGAACATCTTTACCAACTCTTTGGAAGGAAATTAAAAAAAATGCTAAAGAGCAGTGCTTTTAGCAGGATCCCTGTGTGGGCAGCATTCAGAATGCTATTTCACAGCAGAAAGGCCTAATCCTAGGCTTCTAAAGCAGCCCAAGACACTTTTCCTCCTTATGTGCAGAATTCCTATAGTTCTCACAGTTCTCTTTATTTCTTATTAGCCATTCCCCTGGAACTCCAATCTCGTTTTAATTAGAATTATTTATATTGCACTTCAGCCATGTACATTGTTGAGTGGTTTCTCTCTCCTGCCTGGATTCAAGGGGATCCTGAAAGGCAGTGGGAAGGTTATACTGTGAGATTTTAGACACCACTGGGGAATTGTGTGATGGGAAATAGAATTCTGTGCACATGGAGACAGAGTGGCCAGATGGGATACTACTGAGGCATGTGATGAGGAGTTTAAATCTGTTGGTGTGCATTTCAAAAATATAAAGGAATATCATTTATACCCAATTGAATGCTGATTTTATGGAATGTTTCTATAAAAATCTGGGCGCCAAGCCCAGGTCTGAAATATGAACCAATACAATAAAGCTGTCTGTCTTTTATTTATACCTTTACTTGTTACATAATGTTATCTAACTTTCAGGACCTTCTATAGCAGTGCTTTAACTTGCTTTCCTTGTAGTCTGAGATATTCTCCTACGTCATTCAAGTACTTTTATTAACAGCTGAGGTTTCTGGCTTTGTTTTCCTCAAGCCTACTTTCCCATATTCTCTGACTGTGCCTTCCTGCTTCTGCAAATTAGTTAAAACATTACAAAATCTAATCAACAGCTACTAAATTCCTCATTTGATTTCATTTTCTGAAAAGTGAATAAATATGAAGTTCTTAACATTCCATAGGTCAGAAACACGAACAGTAAAGTATCTTGATTCCAAATCTTATGGAACCTTGTCATTTTTAAAGTGGCCACTGTTTTGAGTTAACTGTTTGGTATAGGAAAGAGGAAAAGATTATGCTAGTCTGCGCCCTAAGGCTATCCTCATTCACCTGTGAGCTGAGGCACACAGCAAGCAGAATGGAACAACGCTTGTAAACCACTTACCCAAATGTATGCTTAACATACATTATCTGGTGATCATGTTGAAGAAAAGTAGGACTGATGTGCACTCATGTGTATCAGACATGGACAACATTGTCAGAAACATGAACAGAGCTGTCAAATCAGTTTGTCTTTTATTTTCTTTCAGAGGCAGCTAATACTGTGCAAACTAAAAGTTCTTGTTCTGTGATGGCCTTACTGACCTGAGGTCACCTAGCACATACATTAGGATGAGCAGCACACATGCTTCCTCTTGGGATATGGAAAATACAAATCATGCATCAAGCAGTAGTTGCTGTGAAGAACAACTGAAATGCTGTGAGAGGTTGGATGTGTCCTTCTTAGTGCTCATGACGTGGGCATGCTTTTTCGACATTTCCAGTTTCAACAGTTTAATTAAAGCGTTTGTAGTTCAATATTAAGTTACAGCTCACCATTACTTTTTCAATTCCACGTAAATTACAAATGGCTCAGGACTATATCAAATATATTCAAGACAGAATAGTCCTAAAGAAATGTCAGGTTTCTATTCACACATGAATATACATGCTCTTCCCACACCTGCCAGCTGAACTGCAAAGATGCCCCACCTGGAAGAAAAGCAGAAGTGGAGCTGGAAGGAGCTACCCAATCACTGCAGGCATGACATTCTG